GAGACTTTTTGCCATTGATTCCGTTGTGACCGATTTTGACACCAACACTCATAGTGACCCTCCACGGTTCGAAAAGCTGTCTTACTAATGTCTTCTTCAATCATTCTTATTTGGTGATAACCAGATCGTAAATCCAACTTAGTGAAGACAGAAGCTCCATGTAGTTCATCAAGTAACGGGTCAATGACTGGGATGGGATACTTATCCATCACGGTAGCCCTGTTGAGTGCCTTGTAGTCCACACAAAAGCGAAAAGATCCATCTTTCTTCTTCACCAACAGCACAGGACTTGAGAAGGGACTCGTACTCAGTCGTATAATCCCAGTAGAAAGCATGTCATTAACCATTTCCTCCATTGCAACCTTACTAGCATGTGGGTATCTATAAGGTCGAACAGAGACTGTTGTAACTCCCGGTTTGAGATTGATTGCGTGCACATTCCCACGAAAAGGTGGCAGAGATGTTGGTATTGCAAATATCTCCTCAAACTCTTGGAGCAGCAGAGAGAATTTAGAACAAACTTCTGGAAGCGTAGATGCTGCTATAGAAGTAGCAAGAAGCACTTCTCTTCCTTCTTTACCACTCTTATAGACCGGCATTAGTGATTTGAAAGAAAACTTGGTGCAATGCAACTCCTCCTCACCACGCAAAGTCACCTTGTTTCCATCATAAAAAAAGGAAAGGACCTGCTCCTTCCAGTCCACTTCACACTTGCCTAAGGTTTCAAGCCACTGAATGCCAAGTATCACATCCACGTTTCCCAGTTCAAGAGAGATGAAGTCACTTATGAACTTGGTTTTATTTAACTGAAATGTGACTGCTTGGCAAATTCCCGAAACTTTCACAGTCACACCATTACCCAACAACACTTCCAAGCTGCTATCTGCATAAAATTTTAAACGCAGCTTGTCCACAACTTCAGTGGTGATGAAGTTGTGAGATGCCCCGCTATCGAGCATGACTATCACCTCTTTACCGCATATATATCCCCTCATCTTAGTTGTCTTTGGCGAATCAATGCCCAGATACGAGTTAAGTGATAACGTATGTAGAGTTTGCTGTGGTTGAGTAGTTAACATGTCTTCCTCTTCATACTTATTAACCACTTCAATCTCTATATCTATTGATCACCGTTAAGACCCGTAGCTGTCTATTAGGACACTCCAAATTGTGTGCTGGAGTCCACGGTGCCTTACATCTGAAACAGATTTTGTCCTTCCTCATGCGATCAAGCTCTGCATCAGAAAACTGCAACCTTGGTCGTAAGTTGTTTCTTTTTTGAGTATTGTTTTCCTTATTAGCTCATGTGTCAGGTTTGTTGCCCTCTCCAGTTTTGATAGTTAGAGTAATGGAACGGTTGGAGTTAGTATGACGTTGATGACCTCGTTGTCCATCACCACCAATAGCTGAACTAATCACTTTGCAAAAATCTGTACTCTGCAGCTTCAATACTGCTAGCTTGTGATCAGTTAAAGTAATTGGTTCCTTCATACGAATCACTTCTTTCATGTCAGATTTGAGCCCATTGAAGAATACTTTGATCAAGTTCTTCTCATCTACGCCAGTAACTTGATTGTGCAATGCCTCAAACTCATTCACATAGTCAACAATATCACATTCTTGCCTCAAACAGAATAGTCTTGCAGCTGGATCATTGTCAATTGAACCACCAAATCTGTCCAACATCCTTATCTTAAACTTCTCCCAATTGAGAAAAGGATCATTGTTTGACTCGTCATTAAACCACTGCAACACTGGACCTTCCAAACTCAAGGAAACCAAATACATCTTCTCTTCATCATTGAAGTTTCCAATCCTGAAAAAACGCTCAACACGCGAAATCCATTCGAACGGCAAAGGACCAGAAAACACAGGCATCTCAATCTTACGTAGCATTTTATCACGATTCACAATAGAGTTTTGAATTCCCCGATAACCTATTCGAGATTGAGATTGTTCCGGCTCAGAGATATAAATTGCTACTTGTTCACGAGTTGATGGTGAACCTGTTGCGATCTCCTTGCCAGGACATTGATGAAACATTCCACTCTCATCGATTCGAGTCAAGATCTCAGTCATGATACGCATTCACTTCTCTAATGAATCAAATTTTGAGTTTGTCTCCATTCCAACTGATTCAATCGTCTTCTCCAATGTCGTCAACCGCTCCGCCGTGGCTCTATCGTTTCGAGATATTGAATCGTCACGCAATTTAAGCCAATCCAAGTCGTCTTGCAATCGTTGTATGTTCACTGATGGTTGTTAATCGGAAATCACCTCGCGCTCGCCTCCGTAGCTCCGATCAAGTTTCGCCGCACCAATGATAGATTGTACTTATCCGGTAATGTAAAGAGAATTGTAACTACTTTTATTGATCAATGAAAAGAGAATTACAAGTTTGTAGCACGATATTGATTCACTCTCATCACGAGTTCATCTCTATCGTCAGTCTCATGGTGACTGTGTACTCAAGACTCATAGCGTCTGAGATTAACAACATACAAAGCCTAAAACTCCATTAATGATCTAACAACCGAATATAAGCAACGGCTAGAAGTCTAACGGCAAAGACTCTGTCTTACTCCAAGGCTTCCAACTTCACTCCTTTATTTGAATTAAAACTCCCTCGTCTCAAACCTCTTTCTCAAACGGAAGTGTCCAACCCCTCTTCTTCACTTTGCTAATTAATATCTTCAGCCCTTTTACTTGCTCCACAAGCGACATTCCTCTTCCTTCTCCTAACGTATGCCTTTCGGAACCTATCATCCTCTTCCTCTGTTATACCTACTGTTGTTGCGACCGCGATTGTTGTTATGGTAATACGGATAGGATCTGGTGTTATTCTGAGTCGCATTAAAAGCTACATGTGGGGACACAACAGTCGTGTCTTCATAAGCCTTTAGTCTATCATCATAACCGATTAACTTTGGAACCACAGATTCAAAGGACAGTTCAGGGATGCTATCAAGTGACCCTTATATGCTGGTTTTTATAGGTTCATATTCTCTGCCTAACCCATGAAGTGCTGCAAAAATCTTCATCTTTTCATCAACACTATATCCCACTGGTCGCAGAGAGATTTTACCTCCTTCAAGTAGTCAGTCATGGACTTTTCGCCTTTGGAAATGGTCTGAAGCTTGCGTTTTAACTCAAATAGTCTTGAAGAAGAGACTTTGGTGAACTTAACCGCAAGAGAGCTTGCCAAACGCTTTGAGAGGTTGTGCACTGAATGACTAGATTTAGCAGATCTTCAGACAAAGATCCAAGAATCCACGCCTTAATAACCTGATCTATCTGACTCCATGTGATAAAATCAGGGTTTGGTTTCTCCATTTGCGCGTTGTTGATTCCTGGAACAGAGATGGTGCGTGACAGAGGTGGGTCTTCGCCGGTGACAAACCCCAGAAGTCGCTGACCACAGAGGAACGACTCGAACTGGATTTTCCATAGTACATAGTTTCGGTCAGTAAGCTTTTCGGTTACACATTTTTTAATACTTAAATACGGAATAGTAACGATTCCCATGGATGGCATCTCCATGAGCTCTGATACCATGAAAGCAGAGACAAGAGCTCAAGATATTATGTTGAGGAAGAAGAACATTTTTTCTTATTAATCTTTTCTTGAGTTTCTTTGTTACATTCATATGTTTATATAGTAAAGATAAGACTCTAAAAACGCTAAACATATGTCACTCATCAATCTTCATTTAGCGATCCAAGGGTTGAGAATCTATTTGATGTCTCTATCTTGTCCTTTGTACTATCTGCAACTTTAGCTTGTCTTTTATTGCCATTAGCTTCATCTTCATGTAAATCTGACCGTTGTGGTTTTGTTTATTAAGCCCAGGCATAGTAGCTGTCTTGGGCCTCCACATCGTTTGGGCCTTATCATTGTTCAATTTTTTGTCTTGTTGAACATAAGCAGGAACAGAGTTTTGAGGTTCTCTGGTATCAGTTCATAGGTTCTTAAAGCTATACTCTGATGTAAAAAATTCTACGATCTCTCTTTCCACATTCTTACATTTGTTTTTTAATAAGTTAAATATACTACATATCACCGTTGGAGGTGGCCTATATAACTATAAGAAATCATACTATTTTCATAAAATTTAAAATTATAGTTCAATATAACTGGTAATGAAAAATATTTAAAATTATAAATGTTTTAAGGCTTCATATCTTATATGTATCTAAAGCTGGCTAAAATATTCGTAAATTTTGATTTCATTTATTATCCGTTCTGGAAAAAAATCTTGATGTACCTAATTTTCCAAGGAACTAATACTTTTATATGCAAGAAACCAAACAATTCACAAATACTAATACTTTTATAAATGAATATCCGATCAGATCCATTATATGCATATATATATATATATATGATTATTATCTTTTATTTAAGTCTTACAATAATTTTATTTATTAAATTGAATATTTTAGATATTAATATTATTTTAGATTTGTATTTATTTAATTAGTTTTTGTTTTATTTGTATGGATCAGATTTTAAAATTTTTGGATATCCAGAATTTCCAAGTAGCTTAGATCGAATCACTGATTATTCGAATGAAATGAATAGGGTTACAAACACCTCCAAAATCTCTGCTATTCGATTTGTGTCCACCATTATTTGTACATTACCCTATTTGGTAAGATATCACACTTGAAATCCAAAACAAAATTGCAGTGATACAAGAAAGAACATAAACCGTCGCTCGCTTGCTACTTACATATATCTTGCTACATATTGAAGTCTGAAACTGCTATAGCCCATAAATACATAATGGCGGGTCATAACTGAAGATTCAACCAGCCTCTAAATGTGGTCAGTAGTTTTAGTCCTATTTGTCCACAAAAAAAAAGTTTTTGTCCTATTACCAAATAAAACCATAAAACAGCAAACGGATTAAAACTTTTGGTGCATCATCGTCACAGTGCATACAAATGTAAACTGTGTGCCAATATAAGATGTAGAAGGATCGTTATAGATAATATCATTTAGTCTATTATTCTTAGAAATTCGATAGTATCTCCTTTCCATAAACATAAAAGAGAACAAACAACACCATTATCATAGTCTACCCTTACTGCAACGAAGGGCCCTTTGCAACGAAAGCCACACTTGTAACATCCTGGTCGATTTATACCATTCAAAGCCACTTTCCATTTTTTTCCATTGAATTCAAAATGCAGTCGAGGCTTCACATATCTGAAGTCTCCGAGTACACAATGAATATGAATAGTCGAGCCATAAGTTTCGCAAGTGTAGAACATTACCTTCGGATCCATTTCTCCCTCGCATATCTCACACCAGTAACTACCGGTCATGTCCTTGTCTCCATCGTAGCATAAACTAAGAGGCTTTATATCATATTTGTACCTTACCCTATTTGGTAAGGTAGCACACTTGAAATCCAAAACAAAATCGCAGTCCATACAAGAAAGAACATAAGCCGACTCTTGCTTGCAAACCACACATATTTTGCTACCTATTGAAGTTTGGAACAGAGGATGTGGATGGCATTCGTATAAGAATGGTTCAGATATTGAACCGCACCTTACATCTAACTTGATATTGCAGCATTCATACCTGAAACCACTGCATAGTCGGTCGCAAGCAGAGCATAAGAATACTCCACGAGTACTTGGAAAGTCCATGACTACGCTATCATCATGGTACAAAGTAAGTTGATGATTCTGCAGCACATGTCGTTGCTTTCGAGGAAGGTTAGCACATGTTTCATGGAGAACGAAATCATCGCAATGCATACAACTGTAGAATGAGTTAGAATAGACAGGACGAACGCATGCTCTACAACGAGTATGCTCGCCATGGATATTAGTAGTAACACCATCCTCGAGTTGTAGATCGTGCTCTCGATGGCTAAAGTGATTTATCACCCCGTCACTCACAACCCAAAAAGGCTCTTCACATTCATCGTCTTCTTCTGGCTCATCCTCAAGCTCTCGCCCATCCCACACGTCACTTCTCGTGGCACATTTTGAATGAACCGCGTAGTCTGGACAAATAGAGCAACAATACGCTCCATATCTCCCGTCAACTCTTCTTCGACAAACTCCACAAGTCCAATTTCCAGAACCAAGAAAATAAGTGCGAGAGATACGATGTCTATGACGCATAATGCTTATGACGCGTGGTAAGTAGATACAATATTCATGGATCATGAAATCACACTGAGGACAAACGTAAGGAGATCGGTCGGATTCAAGACCACATGCATTGCAAGTGAAGCGTATGAGCCTTGGCATGAGAGTGAGGATATGTTCATGACCTTTTGGGTAGTGAACAACTAACTCAAGCGGATTTCGCGCACAATAAAGATCTATGCTGAAATCACATATGGAGCAATGGTAGACCAATTTTTCAAGCTTTTCTCCACAAAGACGACACTTATCGTCAGCAGCAGCTAGTGGTATGCCATTTTTGAGCGTGAGAGGATGTCTCTGGTGAGAAGGATGGTTAATCTCTGGCGATGATTCAGCACATTCTTTGTGGACGGTCAAGCCACATGTATGGCAGCTGTAGCCGAAGAAATCTCTGTCTCTACGTTCTGGACATGCCTGGCAGTGAGCGTTGCTGCTACCGTATATGAAAAAAGGGTGCTCGTGGGATGGAAGTATCACTGTGGGTCCCATGATGTGGTCGAAGACCATAGATGGGGTTAATGAATCATCATCATCATAGGAGGATTCATCATCCTCTCCATGTGATGTTGGTACGTCGGAGAGGTCCTCGACTATGACCATTTTTTGTCTTGATAAACTAGATTTTGATGTTTGGTTATGGTTAGGACATCTGAAAGATAAATAACAGAGCAAATAAAATAAAAATAGCCGTTGAAGAATTAATATATTAATGAACATTTCATGTTTTGAGGTTTTATGTCCCCATATCTCATATTCAAAGTTCGAATCTTTGGGTTACCGTGTTTTCAAAGCTGCCAATGTTTGTTTTATGTTTGTACTCCATCCACGAAACCTATGAGAGTTAGTCAAATAAAAATATTATGTTTCTAATTTGTTAATAAGATAATTAAAAGTTATTTTTAAAAAACAATGGACCTAAAACTCTAAAGGGATGTGTTCAACTTGGAATTTGCAGTCATTTGATTTCTTATAAGTTTTTAAATGATTTTAGATGAATTGAAAATATATTAGTGTTTTACTTGAACAACTCTAGAAACTCATATAAAACTCATTAACTAAAAATTTCAGCACACAAATGACTAGAAAAATCTTAAAATATACAAATTAAAATATTTTTCAATAAAAGTAAATTTCAAAATAGTTTATTAAATAAAAAAAAATATTAAATAAAAAAAGTTTATTAAATAAAAAGTTCAATAACACTGATTTATAAAATTATTTTTTAATATTCATGTTTAAATAAGAACTGAATCATCATTTTATTATAAATCACTTCAAACTTTCAATTGATTACATTAGTGTTTTACGAGATTCTGATAAATCTTACAATAATAAACATACTCAACTCTTAACCTGTCCACGTATTAAATAAAATCAACCAATGAAAATGGGTTATTTGCACACATCACTACTGCTTTAGCGGGTACTAGTATAACCCATGTGCTGCACACAGGTTAGTTTATAGTTTCTTAAATTATTTGATCATGTCATAATTTTAATCAGAAAAAATGATTGTTTAAAATATTATATGAACAGTGGCACATAATATAAGAGATTTCTGCAGTGAAACAAATCAGTCGAAGGAATAAACTTGATATCATTGTGAAATGGATACATGCTTGCAAAACTTTTTAAAATACCTAGATATGGAGTATAAACTATAGTTAAAATAATTTCTTTGATCCATTAATTTTGTTCTACAATTTTATAATAAATATATTTAATTTAATGTAAATTTAAATACGATGAATCTAATATTTTTTCTTTTTTTATTAAAATAACTGTTGCATTGATATTTTATTTTAATTTACCTAACATCTTTTATAAAAAGCACACATGTAAAATTAACCCACATTATTTATTTTGATAGTCTGTTAAATTTATATTAAATTTTACAACCTTAATTTACTTTTAATAAAATTCTAATGAATTGCTCGCAATAATAAAGTAAAGTAATTTAATTTTGGATCAGAAATGCAATTTCAGTGATACATCTAACAATAGTTTTAGCTTTTAGGGTTGAACTCAACTGCTGAAAAATAATTGATTCAGCAAAGGAAATATTAATATCCAGTTCTATAAAAATAAGTATCTTTATTTTGTTTTGGTTTTAGAATTTAGATTGTCAAACCAATATAACCCAAATCCGAACGATATATGGTTACTTTATCAGTTTTATGATGTGTACAAATTAGAACCAAACCCGACGTGTTATATTTGAATTCGATCCATACTTATGAACATGTCTAATTACATATTATGACACCTATGATGTGATATAAATTAGCTTTGGTTCAAAATATTCGACATGTATCCCAATAGGTACTTGAGCTTCCAAGCATAACTTATATTATGTTTTATATTTTGTTAAATTAATTTTATATTTGATAAATTTTTGTTTGTTTATTGAAATAACCTGTAAAATTATAATCATAAAAATATCAGTAATAACATGTTTCCTCATATAATTAAATATTAATAGTAGCTATTATTAATATTTATTTTATAAAAATTATATATATATAAACGATTTTAAGACTTTATCTATGATAATTATCTTATTATGTATTAGTGAAGGTTTGAAAAAAATTTGTTTATTATTATTTTATGTATCAGTTACATATAATTAAATGTTAATTTTTTATATCCTAATGTTTTAATTTAGATATGTATATTAAAATATAAAATTATTTCATTTTTTTAATATTTTATGGGTAATTCTCTAAAATAGCCCTCTTAAGTTTTTATCACAAAAATAGACCTCAAAAATTAAAATGACCAAAATAGCACTTTTTATTTTGAAAATTTTAAGTTTTCTTAATTTTTTTAAATTCGAAACCCTATTCTCAAAACCACACTCCTCAACTCTAAATAAAAAAATCTAGGATAAGTTAACCCAAGGGTATAAATGTATATTTAATAAAACATTTAAGTGCTATTTTGGTCATTTTAATTGTTAAGGTCTATATTTGTGATAAAAACTTTTTAGGTCTATTCTAGTCATTTTCTCATATTTTATTGTAGTATTTTGTTATTCTGTAAATGTAATTCATCTAGTTTATAATGTATAAAGTAGATTAATTTATATTATAATAATTATTTTGTGTAATTTTTAGCTACAAATATGAAATATTTATATATAAATGTTATAGAAAGTTAGTTCTTATTCTATAAATCAAAATGAGTTAATACTCATTTATAATTTAATTTAATATTATTTACGTTTTTATTATTAAAATAATATTATAACAATAAATATTTATTTTAAAATAAAAATATATTAAAGATATTGTTAAAATGTAATCTGAAAAAGTAGTTAAGAGTATCTTTTTGATATCTTATTTTGAATATATTTAAATATTATATTAATATTATGTTGTTATTTAATAATAACTAAATTTGTTATATGTAATTAAATAAATATAATGTTTTGAGGTAAACTACTTGCAAGTAGATAAAAATGCTTCTGTTTTAATAATATTGATTAGGAACATGTCCAATTGATAAAAGTTGAGTCTAATTATATGTTATTCTATTGGGCCTATTTTAAAACAGATAATAGTGTGATTGAATCTAATTTCTTAAAAACACTAACCACGATCATTTTTGTTTTTATCATTAGCTGTTATGTCTAACTAGGTAGCGGTTTTTGTTTCTAACTTTAGCAGTTCTCGGCTGGTCTCGAATCTAACTAGTGTAACTGAATCTAATTTCTTAAACATTTTCAGTTTTTTTTTTTTAAATTACTCATATTTTTTATTTATGTTTGATAAAAGTAGGTCATCGAATAAAAAGAAGGTAAAGTAGTCCTTTGAAAATAATTATTGATACAATAATCAATACAATTAAAAAAAAATTCATGATCTATTGATAAATATTTAGTCCAACTATTATTATTTATATATTACTCTTTTATATAAATAACAGTAATTTTATACTATTGATAAATGATTAAATACAATATAATTACAAAAGTTATAAAATATAAAATTAATTTCTCAACAAAATTTAAACAAAAAGTATACTCACACTTTCAAGGATGGGTCAAAATGTAGTTACTAGTTAAAACAAGAAGAGAGTAAAAATTCTTGATAATGTAGCAAACTACCTCTGTTTCAAGACTCTTAGAAGCAGACGGGGACGTTTCTTGTTTCTCAGCCGGTACGTGACTACTGATCACTATGTAGGTTCTGGCATAGATATTATTGAAGTATAAAATGTCAATACTTGGCTTAAAAGTTCGTCTGATGGTCAGTTGACGACATCATGCAGCTTTTCTTTAAAAAAAAATAACAAAAAGAGAACAGAATAGATTCCACACTAAAATAAAATTCTTCCACTAAATAAAAGAAAAGTTTGAGTTTTTTCAATGTTAAGAAACTAGACCCTCTTCTTCATAGAGAGTTTCGGGGTCAAGTTCGTTCTATAAACCATTAAATAGAACAGCAGAAGGATGCAACTTATATGTTACGGCTTCAACAAAACAAGATTGTTTGTCTCCATCTTGTGCTTGTTTTGGTTAAGATTAGATAGACCTGAGTGAGCAGAGGGCATAACCAGAAGCCAGGGAGCAGAAGGCAAATGAGACAAAGGAGACAAAAGATAACGAGACAGATGCTCTAGCTAAGTTTGGGAACTGGTCTGCTCCCCAATTTGATAACCAATCGTCAACACGGATAGAAGCTGAAGTTGAAGCCGCAGCAAGAAGATACGCTATCATCTGCAACATTAAACCCCAATTTAACTCCAAAGTATTTGAGGGAATATAGCATTTGAGTGGAACGATCATTGATATACCAATAAACAGAGATGAAAACTAAACCATGTACAAGAAAATCAGAAACAATAAGCTCAGAGTGACTGGTTTCACAAGAAAATCACATCTTTAAGTTTCAAGCTTTAGGTTGCTACTGATTATAAAAGATGATGGTTTCAATCAAAGAGAGGCAGAAGGAACATACTTGATCAAGAGCAAATTCCAAGAAATGTCGGAGGTTATGTCGTGATCTGCGAATACTAGTAGATAACAGATAAACGAGATCACATATCATAAAAGCTGAGTAGACAAAACCAATCACATTCGCAGCCAAACAGAACCTGCAACCAAAAAAATACACATAAATAAATCAACTCAAGAAAACTAAAGACAAAGTATCATAACTTAGCTTAGAGCAGGTCATTAGATTACTTCATTAGCTTAAACTAAACAACTTCAACAGCTAGTTTGAAGGAATTTTCATATTCTAGACAATGTATATACCAAGTCAGGGTCATCCATCTCTCCTTCTAAATATCTTCATCATACACTAGTGAAGATGGAAAGTAAGAAACTTTACTTAAAGTTATTGTATTCGTAGAAAGAATCACAGTGATAAGACCAAACCAGACTCATCTAAAAACCCTGAATCCTATTAAACCTGAAACTCTTCTTGTTACGATCTTCACATACTTCAAACGAAGCTATAAAGTAAGAAACTTTGAAACTTTTGGTATTTGCAGAAAGAAGCATGACTTTCACATATATCTAGAAAAAACATCAACCAGTGATAAGACCAAACCAGAGTGATCTAGGAACCCTAAATCTTCATCTAAACATTTTCAGACACTTCAAAAACTAGGAAACTATAAAGTAAGAAGAGTTTGAACCTGAACTCTTTGTAGTTGTAAAAAGAATCACGAGCCCATCCTTTATCTCTATCAGCAACCATAACAGAGAAGGAGACAAGACACGACACAAACGCAGAAACCCTAAACCCAAGCAAAGCCTTCCTAACAAAGCTAGTCCATTTCGATTCACGCGGAGTCGTAGAAGAAAAGCTCGGCGCTAACCGCCTCCTACTCTCGCCGAGCTTCTGCTCCGCCAAGTCTGGGTTAGTAACCCTAAAAGGAGTCTCGTTCTTCGTGGCCACGGAAGCGACGGAAGGAGTTGGGATGACCGTGTGAGGTGAAGATCCGTGGCTGTCCGGGATTGAAGAGACCGTGTTGGGTGAGTCTGGAGGTGAATCAATGGTCGTTGGTGGTAGTGAATGAAGTGATGATCTTGAAGACATCTCTGGGTCTCGTCTTTGTTTTTTGTTTCCGTCTTCTTCTTCTTCCTTTTGTTGCTGCTGCTGCTGCTTCCGAGATTTCTGCGTCTTTTCTTCGTCTTCTTCTTCCATTTTCGTTGATATTTTTGGGGTTTTTTTTAATATTATTAGTTGCAATTATTTTCGCCAGCGGAAGTTATGAAGTACTCTCTCTCTCTCTGGTCAAAATGACTCAATTGGGGAAGAAGACGAGAGAGACGAACGTTTTAAAATAAATATTTTCAAAAAGGTACTCAGCTTTATTCTTTCCCACATTTTAAAAGCTAACACTATTGTTTAAACATGAAAGTCCAATTAATCTTGTTGCACTCTTTAACCTATACTTTTATTTTCACATAAAATGTCCCATTAACCTTTTTGCACTTCTAAGTTATATTTCACATAAGAATGCGAGATGCAAGTCTTGGATATATAATAACAATAACAATCATCGAACTCTTTGAATCGTAATATGGTTTTAAACCAAACTCAATATGTTGAAGGTTAAATTAATAAACTTCTGGTGAAAAGTACACATACAACAACAGAACATGAAACTCTCTCGTACCATCAGGCACAGAAGTTTCCCGTATGTGCCGAGAGTAGGGATCATGCCGCTCTATGGAAGAACTCGATAGCTTCGTTGTACCGATCCATGACAACGTTGTGGAGGAGGTGAACAGGTTCAAGGTGGTTCGCGTAGCCACCCAAAATGTCACGAGTCAAAGGAGGAGTGTCCTCGTCTTTTGAGTAAGCGTGTTGGGCCACGGAAAGACCGCTTAGACAGTAACATGTGTGGTAGAAGTCACGGGGTTTCCTCAGCTTATCTCTGAATCCACCATCAGCTACCTAAGAACCCAAACGGAGGATGTAAGAAACAGAGACGTAAAAAGCATGTAAGTCTGTGTATGTGTAAACTTTGACAGGATGATTTCTTTTCTGGTGTTAAAGCAACTACGAACTGTACCTTAGAGCACAAGAGCACATATCTTTGCAACCCGAGGCTATCAAAAACTGGTTGAATTCTCTTGCTAATATAGGTAGATGTATGATGGACTTGGTGACCATTCCCTGAATCTACAGACAAAACTGACTTAAATTCAGTTGTGTTCTAGATTTTTAGAAGGGCCAGATGGTAAGAGAGCTAAGCGCATTTACCTTCATCGCTATCCTCATCAGAATCATCTTCATCACTGTCTTCAAGATCATCTTCATCATGAGCATGTTCCTCGTGATCTCTATCTGCCCCTTGTGACATATGTGATGATTCTTGAGGCACCAAATCCTGGGATGAAAAAAATCGCTGTAGTAGAACACAAGGAGCTGCCTGTTTAACACGTACCAAAAAGAAGAAAATGAGTATAGGAGAATTTGACAGTAGGACCTCTAATCATTATGTATAATCATAAACAAGGTTACGAATGATACATGGAGAGTTGGAATATTTACCTGCCAAAAAGTGTAGCAACCGTCGACCAATTTGTTCGTCCTACCTTGAAATCCCATTTCAACTCCTTGCCGATATACAACCCAATTCTAATATCAGGAAATTAATTTGTAAGCAAATTTTATCTTTCAAGGAACAGGAAAGGTATTTCATTAGTCATCTCAGAATGGAATTGTATGTTACCATTAATGAATCCAAATTCAAGCGATCGACTTCATTGATTAAAATCATAGTAGCCAACCCACAGTAGGTGTACCTAAGCAACAAATCACATGCTAATGAGCAAAAGGTAACAATTCAACATTTTTCAGGAAATAAATTTTAGTTAACCATGAATAAGCACGTCATCGAGGAAGATAGAAGTAAAACTCTGTTATGATCAAAGCTTCAACATTAAGAAAGCAAGCAAGAGGCCATACCCACCATGAGCTTCCGAGCCAGGTTCTCCTCCAATGCCACCTTCATAAGTTTGGCAACTGCTCAAAATAAAGTGAGTTAAGAAAACTTTGCAAGGGAAATTCATGAACTTACAACTACTTAACAGCAGTTCAGCTTTGAATCATGCAAAATAAAAATAACATGAAAAGCTACCTCAAGATGTAATCTCCTAAGCCTCGGGTTAGTTCATCATCAACAATGTTTAGGATGCTTGCAATCTGTTCAAGAAGAGAAGTCAAACATAGTAAGGAAAAAGTAAATCATAGGATGCGAGACTTCTAGTGCTCAATACGATCTCTCTGCAAACTATCTGATGAGCGCGAGCGTGGAAATTATTAGACCATTAACCATATCCTATTGTAATAACTATCGAGTTGTTGGTCTGACTGAGCCTAACAGGTTTTGATACCCCCAATAAAAGAAAATGAGGTGGTAAACTCACCGAAATTGCAGTGTAGCACGCACGCACATCTATTTCCCCCATATCATGCATCCTAACGATCAGAGACTAAGTCAGAATTTAAGACGAGTATGCAATTGAGAGGAGACAAGTAACAATTGACGAACCAAGAGGACGAACCAAGAGGACAAACTATTCTGACATTAACGGCAATAATAATGCATAATAGTGCCGTTATCAGTAAAAATGATGCCTTGTAGAACTTCGAGCAGAAAGAGAATCAAACCTGAAACCACCATTTGTATTCTTCATTCGTCTTAAAAAACAAGACATTTGATCTCTGAAAACTTACGAACACATATGTAAGTCTTCTATATCGGTTGTCTCTTATTGAAAAGAAACTGATGATAGAGGAAAACGAATTCACCACCTATTAATCGAAGAAAGAGCTTTGTCACCTCCTAGAGTAATAAGTGTATTCACTGCAGCATAGCTTGTTGCAAGATGCGGAAGCTGTGAAGAAAAGATCTCCATTACTAATGGACGAGAGAAAAAGGCAGGCTAAATAAAATTATATCCTTAATCTATCTGCCATATCTGGAATATCTACAACCAAATACTGTAATGAGAGAAGGTATCAAATCTCATATTACACCAAAGAGATCCAGCAGAATCAAACGATATAGTCTCCTTTATAAGTCTAAATTCATAAAACTATAGTGATGCACAAATATTCAAGAAACAGACATATACTTACTTGGCCAGGACCACCACCATATCCACCATCAGAACCCTGAACAAGCAATACGTGGAAGAAAACTAAGTACCAAATAAAAAAAATGAAACCTTTCCACGATTGGGTGAGACAGAGCTTGAGAAGCCTAACCTGGCAGCGTCCAAGAAAGTCAATAGTATTGTTTTCTAATTCATCATCTACAGACTCCCCAAGCAAAGCAATTGAATGAAGAATCCAGTAGCAAAGCCATGGTCGACTGTTCAAAATCCAAAAGCCAAAGCTCAACTTAGTCATCTATTGATCCATCAATACATACAAACTCTTGGCCATGTAAAAAAATCTGTGCAAACTTCAAAGGGACTCAACGACTTCACAGTGAACTGATTCAATGAAGAGAACTCGCGGAACACAATCAAACTTTCGGACTTCAAATTTCAGCTATGAACACAACACACACCGATAGAAGATACGTACTTGGCATCTAAGGACGAAAACGATGGGCTTAACTTCCTTAAGCCATTCACCAGATAATCCATCTGCTTATCTCTCTGAATCTCCACCCTAGACAAAAAACAACTTTCATCAGCACAGATTGTGAAGAAAAGCTAGTCGAAAGCAAATCAAGTTTAACACAAAGCAACGATGATATCTTACAGGAACTTTTGAGTAGCGATGTCACTGGCGTCAAAGTAATTGTACATCCCGAACACATCGTTCTCCACCAGAAACTGCTCGCGCTGACTCACCGTTATGCTCGGAAGCTCTTCCATCACCTCTCTCGCTGCGATTCGATGCTCGAATCTTCTTTCTCTCCGTCTCCGATTGAGTTGACTCAAGTCAAATCGGAACCCTAATACACAAAAGCTGCTACTGTGCGCTCACGTTTGTCCTGGCCGGGGAATTAATTGGGAAAGCGTCGTTATAATTTGCGCCTGCTACTTTGGTTCCGGTTTTTAGCCGGTTCGGTTTGATATAATTTGTCTCCGTACCGAAATTAATTTATCAATTGCTATTTGGTTAATATACAATCATCTTCCGGATATTCCGAACTGTCACATGAGCCCACTTCTCCACCACCAGCAGTCCACCACCACAGGTCCAAAACCACCTCTAACTAAATTTATAATTAAAAAGTTTTATTATTAATTTGCTGACTTAGAAAAGGGGTTTTACAAATAGAGCCCTACATCTATATTTTATGCCAAGGAAGTCATGTTTACCAAAATAATGCTCACAAGTCACAACAGACCACATGCTCTATAAACTATAATTGGGATAGATTAAAATATGTGCCACGTCCAAACCGTGATAATCCAGGTTAATATCCTGGTTTATTTTTTCAAAAAAATAGATGTTTAGGGTTTAATTAGATAATATTTAAAGTACGTACGGTTTTTATCAAATAAAATAAAAGTTCAGGGCTCTATTTGCAGTAATAGTATTTATTAAATTAAAAGGAATAAAGGAATTTCAATCGCGTATAAACGTCAAAAAGGTCTTAAAGATTCTATCCCTCTCTCTTAACTCCTGCAGCAGCATAAATTCAAATCGCTTTCTCAATTTACGGTTACCATTTGTCAGTTTCTCTGCAACCTCTGGAGATAAAGCGAGCGAGCGACGTGAAATCCAAATGGGAGCGTATTGCAACGACGACCTAAACATGCCGGTGTACTCCGCCGGCGCTCCGACGAACGAGCTCCGTTTCAGCAAGCATGTCTACGACAACGTTCACGGCAACATCTACCTCGATCCTGTAACTCTTCTTTCTCCGTTTCTCGTTTCCGTCGTTCTAAATTGTTCGTTTACGAGATAAGGAGGCTCCGGAACTCTTATCTTTTATGCTCTCTCGCTCTGTTAACTGTTTTTGGATGAGATTTTCTGTAAAATCTCCAGTGCTTGTTGTTCGAGTTGGAATCTGGATGATCGGTTCTTCGTAGTTGATTTCTCTATATGATTTGTGAAGCTCGTTTGATAGAGATTGATTGATGTTTAGCGGAAGGTTTACCTACTTGTTTAGGAGATTGATGTTTAGCGGAAGGTTTAACTTGTTTAGGATATGTATGCCTGAGTATTAGGTCGCGGACACATTAGATGAACGAAACTGCTGGTGGATTCTTCGAGTAGTGTATTGTATATTCTGTGATGCGATTATACTTTGTATTTAGGTTCTTGTGTGAATTATTTCCAATTTAGCTTGCGTTTTGAGATTCTCTAAACCACTAGACTACGGTTTGAAATCATGTACCAAATATTGAATCAATGTGCTGATAGTCAAGTTTGATTTGCAGCTTTGCTTAAAATTCATTGACACGGAGCAGTTTCAGAGGTGAGTTCTTGGATTGTGCTCAATTTTCAATGATACGTTTATGATGACAATGTTCTGAATGTTTGATATGATTCCTTGTGGCAGGCTTCGTGAACTAAAGCAGCTTGGTGAGTTTGACTTTGTTTTTAACACAAGTTGCCTCTCCTCTTGTTTAATAATAAGCAAGGGTGGTCTCGTTTTATGTTTTGCTTTGAAACTTTTCTTATCGGTTATTTGTGAAATTTTTGCATAAGTTACTAGTTCTAACTGTAATGAGTTTTGAGTGGTTCAGGAGTAACCAACATGGTATATCCGGGAGCTGTGCATTCTAGGTTTGAGCATTCTCTAGGTGTGTATTGGCTTGCAGGTGAAAGTGCGCAGAAGCTAAAACAATTCCAGGTATTGGAAAGTGAAGACAGATTTCCTGTGGTATAGTCACATTTGTTTACAGTAAGGTTGACTTTTCATAGGGAATGGAGCTTGATATTGACAAATATGATCTTCAGACAGTGAGACTTGCGGGTAACTATACTTAGCTCAGTGATTACATTATTCCTTGAAATCAACTACTCATATCTGTTTGTATTTATAGGACTTCTCCATGATATTGGCCATGGGCCTTTCAGCCATATGTTTGAGCGTGAGTTCCTGCCGAAGGTCATGAGTGGCTGTGAGTGGTATGTTTCACATTCCTTCAAAATATCATTGACATGGTGCATCTTGATGTCATGTTAGAATGATGCCTTCAATATTTTCCTTAAATGGCTCTCTAGAGTGTCCAGCTTTTTATATGCCAGTTCTTTTATGCAGGTCTCATGAGTTAATGTCTGTAAAGATGATTGACCATATTGTGGATACGCATAACATTGATATTGATGCTCAAATGTTGAAAAGAGTGAAGGTAGTTTCCGTTCTTAACACTATTTTGCTTCTCTCAAATGGCCTCTAGTATAAAAAGCGGAAAATGTGAAATTAGTTTCAGTCTTTACAAATCCAATCTAAATATTTGTTCCTTCCTTTCTTCTTTTCTGATGATTCTCTCAAATGTTTACTTAACAGGATATGATCCTAGCAAGTACTGAGTTTTCACAGTTGAAGGTAAGTTCTATAGCAGTCATGTTCTCTATTTTAGTCAAACATGAACAACTACTTGCGCTTGAATATATTTTCACCTTTTCATATTTTGCAGAGCAACGCAGAGAAACGTTTCTTGTATGACATTGTAGCTAATGGTCGAAATGGGATTGATGTCGACAAGTAATTCTATACATTTTTTTAGTTGTATACCCTTCTGCAGTTTTTTCCTTTTCACTCACGGTGATGGGAAGACGCATATATTTGCACCTTTATACTAGGAAGCTAATTCTGATTGTCTACAGGTTTGACTACCTTGTTCGTGATTCTCGAGCTTGTGGATTGGGATGCAATTTTCAGTTCCAAAGGTCTTCATTCTACTTTATAGTTTTTGCAGTCTTTTCTAAAAAGAAATTTGCTAATTCTCAGAACTTTCTAGACTGACAGAGACAATGAGGGTCATGGACAATGAAATCTGCTATCGCGCTAAGGAATGTGAGTTTTCTCCACCTAATATATATTATCTTTTTGCATTTGCCTCTACTCCCTAGTTAAACCGAGTGAATTTTGCAGATCGTAATGTCCACAAGTTATTTGCAACACGAGCTGATCTCTATCGAACTGTCTACACACATCCGAAAGTAAAGGTATTGAACCATTACTATTCTTACTCTTTGTTCCTTTCTCTGTGTTTTCTCTATTTCTCACTTTGTTTCTTTCCATTCATGTGAAGGCAATAGAGCTAATGATAGTTGATGCCATGGTCAAGGCCAACGATTACTTAGGGATTTCTACTAACATTGACGACCCATCTGAATACTGGAAGGTATACTCCTTCAGGAGACGAAGTCTTTCCCTTTGTGCAACAAGTTCTTGGCTCTTCTCTATATAAGTCTTTTTATCCGCAATTGCAGTTGGACGATACAATCCTCAAAACCATTGAAATAGCTCCAGATTCAGAACTTGCAGAAGCTAAAGACCTGATCCTCCGCGTTCGCAGAAGGCAGCTGTACCAAGTAATTAAACAGAATATTCTCCTCATTTTCTGCTTTAATTAGTTTTAACATTTTCTTTTCGCTCACGTGCAGTTCTGTAACGAGTATGCGGTTCCAAAGGAAAAAATTGAACATTTCAAAGCCGTCACTGCTCAAGATATCGTCTGTTCTCAGGTTTGTAATCTTTTAACACTAACCAAAAAGAGAAAAAACGATTTACAGAACTCATCTCAGTTTTAATATAACAGAAGCATACAAGCTTGACACTGAAAGAGGAGGATATCGCTGTTACCAATGTCAAGATTGATTTAGCTCGTGGGAGAGAAAACCCTCTTGAATGGTAAAGGAAACAAACACTGTTTTGCTTCTTTGTTTATTTCAGTTAGCGCTTAAGTAAAATTCTAACCAGCTTATCTTTTTTTGTGCGGGGCATTTCCACATTCAGCATAAAGTTTTTCAAGGTACACTATCATCTCTTGGTTCTTGTACACTATAATCTCAACAGATCCTATTTGATTGACGTTTTTCCTGTACAGGATTACGAGAGTGATGAGAAGTTTGTGATACCAGAGGAACGAGTTAGTCACTTGTTACCAACAACATTTCAAGACATGATAGTTAGAGTATATGCCAAGAAACCAGAACTGGTTTGTGATAAAACAAAATATATATTCACATTGGTTCCTTTGTTATTGATATTGGTTTTTGCGTTGCCAACAGGTGGAAGCAGTTTCTGAAGCATTTGAGAACTTCCAAGTGAGAACGTATGGAATCAAAGCTCAAGTCCACGAAACACCTGAGAAAAAGAAACGCCGTGTCATGTAATTAGTTACGTGGCCATAACCTCATTTCATTCTTCCTTTTTTACGGTGTTGAAACTTTTAACTACGGATGTGCGTGTATACTAAGCACTTATAGGTTTTACAAATACGGTGTCCTTTTGTTCCATAGACCATAATGTCTTGGTTCATGCATTTGCTTTCTTTGTACGTAAGAAGAAAACATTGTTTACGATTTATGTTACAAATTTTTAAGACGGACCAATTTGAAATCCATTTCAGATTTATTATCTTATCTGGTCAATTGAGATTTAAAAAGATTTGAGCTGCACTTTATGCGGTTTTATTAAATTAATTATCAATAGAAGAAGATTTAATAATTTTAAATGTGAACTGTTTGATCAATTTTCATTCTTTGCTCGTGCAGAAAATAAAAAAGTAGAAAAGTAACCGCTTAATATTTAGTGAAAACAATGGTGGAAAGGGATAAATGTTGACACATCAATACTTGATAAAAATCATACCAGAAACTAGACAATTAAAAAAAGAAGTAATGTTATTACGATACTACTAGAACCAAACAAAGTTGAAAAGATAAAAGCCGCAATACATACACACAAACGTGTATGTCAATGTATATAATAGAGGAGATCCAAACTCAGACTGTCCCAGGAATTTCAATCTCCGATGGCTTCGTTTTACCGTCATCCTTTGGAGTAGCATTGCGGTACATCAAATAGACAATTAGCTGAGACGCACACAAAGTTGTTCCTAGACCATTGCTAATCTGTACAAGGCATTATAAATACACAACGTTAGAAAAATCATATCAATCTATAGAAAAATTAATAAAAACAAAATTTGTAATTAAAAAACACACTTACAAGGACGTAGAGATCGAGCTTGTAGATCAAAGAGTAAGCAGTCCAAATCGCAGCATTAATGAAACCAATGAAAGAGAGCCAAAATGGCATGTACTCTACACTCCTAGTCCTTATCACCTTTTTCTGTATTGTAATCATTACAATATTATCATTACTTAAAACTCAGTTAGTATATACAATGAATGCAAGATGAGCGAGAGAGAAAGAGAGAGTAACTTACTATGGCAAGAGAAGGAGCTGCATACATACCAATGTTGAAGATATCACAGATCACACCAACGAAAGTCTGTTTTGCAAATGAGTTTTGAATAGCAAACAGGGTAATCAAGACAATGGCAGCCACAGAAATAACCTCAGCAACCAGATATAACCCAACTTTCCTCTGCGTAAATAAAAAAAAAAAGATTATTCAATTAATATGCAAGTGTGAAGATCCTATATATCAAAATCAAAAAGCATTGACTGATCATATACCCTGATGTTTTTCTTGCCACCACAGTAGATGAGGAAGACAGATATGTAGAGAGCTTCGAAGACCATGCCAACACCATTAATGGTGGTGACAAGGATACTATCCTTGTGAACAACAGGGAGTCCATAGAAAACCCAAAGCATACAGTTCATCATCGCTGCAACGTAAGGCCACGGTTGAAACTCTTCAACAGATTTCTTCTTATAAATCCTCCAAAACGTTGGCCTGCATGTATAGATCGAGAATTATCATACTTAATTTCTCATAAACGAAGAATCAAAAACGTTCATAGAAGAGTATTAGAGAAGTTACCCTGGCGAGAAGAAGAGGCAAAACGAAATCACGTTCCCTGAAAATTCAAGGAAAAAAAAAAGCAGATTAAAAATCTAAATAAAGTATACATGAAGAGATCCAACATAAGAATCAAGCTCAACACACGAATATGATGTGAATCTATATACATTGACAATCGATGATAAAACTACTTCACATTGAAATCTCATGAGCATATATTTATAACAAAGTTTGTATCAGTCTCGACGAATAGAGATCCGCCATTAGAGTACGTAAAAGCTCCAAACATGCAAAGTACATGAGAATAAAGATAAACGATCGCTGATCGGCTCCATGAAAACACAGTTATCAATAACTTATTCGGATTCAAATGAAAAAAAAAAACAGAGATTAGCTGATCGATCAGTGAAAGAACGAGATGATCGTACCGATGATTCCGATGATGAAGCGAACTTGTTTAGCGTCAACCATGGTGAAATCGAAACGAGAGAGAGCGGAGATTGATGAAGAAGAAGACGAAGTGTAGAAGGAAACCTAATCGAGAGAGAGAGAGCGGTTACGGTGTAATGTATATTGCTCGATACATACACACATGTATTTATATAGAGAGAGAAGAAGAAGAAGGGATGTAGATAAAGTTAAGAGAGACGTTTGAGTCAAGGAGTCAATATTTAGTTTGTTACGATATTCTCTCCCCTGCCTTAATTACATCAAATCTTCGTCGAATCTCTTTTTCTTTTTGATTTACTGCTTCTTCAACGCTGGTTTAATTCGATTTAGTGAACGTTTTCGGAATTATCCACATCATTTCTTGACCATATTTAATTGTCTTGAGACCCACTAATATATTTAAGATCCTATTTAATGTAATTTACATCTAATTCAGCAAGGGAATATTTAATAAAATTTTTAAATGTCCAATACGTTTTGAATAATTTGAAAACCTGTAACTTCAAATTAATTAGTTACGAATATTGTCGAGAGAAAATGAATTGAATAGACCTTAAAAAAGTTTTTGTCACAAATATAGATTTTAACAATTAAAATGCCCAAAATAACATTTAAATGTTTTATTAAATATACATTTTTATCCCTTGGATTAACTAATTCTAGATTTTTTTGTTTAGAGTTGAGGAGTGGAGTTTTGGGGTTAGGGTTTCAAATTTTAAAAAATAAAAAAACAATTAAAATTTTCAAAATAAAAAATGATATTTTAGTCATTTTAATTTTTGCGGTAAAAACTTAAAAGAGGGCTATTTAGGAGAATTTCCCAATTGTCAACTATACAAATATTAATTAACTGTTTTATATTTTTAGTATTTATGATATATAAATTATGAATAATTAGAAACATCAACAATAGCAGTGTAGATATGTAATAGTTTACAAACAGTATATATAAGTTGATGTTTTATGCAAAACAAAAACAGTATGGATAAATTTGTTAAACTATAAAATGCCGTTTTAGGGTAAAAAAGAATTAATGTCTTACATGTTTTGGATAAAGAGAAGATTTTTAAGTAAATCTAAAACTTGTAATCGTGTAATTTTTTTATCACATAATTAATATATATATATGGAGTAATATTAAAACAGTATAGATAAACTGAACTTTACACAAGAGAAAAAAAAAACAGTGTGGATAAATCTGAAATCGGGTTAAACTATAAATATGCCGTTTTATCAGGTCAAAATCAATTAACAGTTCAAAAACAATCAATTAACATTAATTTATCGTTGTTATTTATTTCATTTTCTCAATAGTTTTTTCTCTCTTTTTTTTTTTTGAAACACAATAGTTTTTTCTCTCATAATTTGCTATTTACAGGAAAATGAATTTTCGGCGGTCCGTAGTTGTTACAAGCCACGTCAGAATTCTGTTTTCTGAATTACATATAAGTTTGAATTATCTCAAGTTATTACGAGTTGTGCCATCGACTATACAGATCACAAGAAACTCATGCAAAATCTACAAGCGATATCATGGGACGTGTTGCCCAAGGCAAATAAACCGGATGGTTATTTTCATCATGACATATCGGGTTTGCAATTAATTCCGGTTTAGTCGTAAATGCAACCGTTTAACCATCATTAAGTCAATTAATGCCGGTTTAGTCATATTTATAGTCTTCGTTAATTTCAAAAATTCAACGTCTAATATTTCCAAAAAAGAAGTAATCATTAACTTATGTAAAGGTTTGATTTAGAAGTTCATACATTTTTGTAGCAAAATATTTATTGTGGTCAAACATATGATACGGGGATACACATTACGTGGAATAATATCTTCGGCTATGTTCACCATGTCCACATAACATTTCTTTCTATAAACTAAAACAGAAAGATGCAAAAAAAAAGAAGAAGAAGAAGAAACAGATTTACTCAATATAATTGTGGTAATAATAGGCTAATTAATGATATCTACTATTGTCCTTTGGTGTAGGTAGTAAAGATCTTAGACTATTAAAAAAAAAAAAAAAGATCTTAGACTAGACCATTGTTTTCAGTATACCATAAACACACAAAACGTGATAAATCAATATATTAATCTATTAACTAACGATCAAAGTTTGAGAAATTAGGAAAATAGTGTTTACAAGATGTAGAGAGATCAATTTTGTAGAACTACGCGTAATCAGTCTAAAATCCAAGCGTTAATTAATGAAACTTACGAACGATAATTAGAATTCACAATTGAGTTTGGCCATATCCCATATATATTAAAAGATAACTTCAATCTCATTTAAATGGTTGTAACTTTAAATTTGTAACAATAAAAAATAACTTCAATCTTATGTGGTAGATTTCTTTGTCTTCTATTTTAATTTAGAAGGATTTTAGAGCATGTAATATATAATGTATAGTTAAAAAATTATACTCTTTAGCAATATAATATTTCGTATGCTATAGTTGATCACATAGATTAAATATTCATTATTTCGTATGATTTCCTTAAATAAAACATATGAAATTACCTAATGTGATTAAAATATATATTGACAATTAATGATTTTAAACAATAAAGATTTGATAACAATCTGTATACTTTTTATATTTTGTTTATTTCTTTATTATTAAAATAAATTACACAATTACATTAATCATATAATAAAAATCTAAATTTTTTTGTGTATGTTATATTTCGAATTTTTCAAAATGAGTACTAAAACTATTAAAAGTCTCACAAAACTTTTAGAATCAAGGTTTCAATTTTTTTTATATATTAAAATATAATCTATATTATAATATTACACTTTCTAGGCTCCACAATGCGACAGATCAGCAGTTTTGTGGGTCTCATAGGTATTTTTTAAAAACTTATAGTCTTCGTAAGATGATTACAAACAATGAAATACACTTTAGCCAAGTGGTATAAGGTGTATAATTAAGCATACAAGATCATGGGTTCAAACCATGCAGCCATCCTTTATTTTTGATTTTTGATTTGGGTTATTATCATATGGGCTTTTTGTTTATAAGGTTCTTATGTTTTTTTTAAGACTTATTGTTTTAAAGATCAAAATATTTGGATAAATCTAAAGCTTAACGAGTTCAAACTAAAAATAGTTAAAAATGGATGCAAAAACGAACGATAAAAAAACAAAAAAAAAACAAGTCTCACGCGGTTGCCTACGCGGATGGCTTAAAGAGCCTTAAAATTATCCTATTATAATATAGTTCAACCCAAAAATAATAAAAAATGAATCCAAAAACGAACCGACCAAAAAACAAAAAAAAAAGTGAATCCCACACGGCTACCTACGTGGATGGCTTAATGAGGCTTGAATAATATAGATTAAGAGCTCAAAAAGTGAAATCATTGCACATATTTCCTAATATATATTTTCAAAAAATTTGTATGTGAGATAAAATAAAAAAACAACAAAAATTAATTATTTTTGTTATTTAGTTAATGAATATGTAATTTCCCTTACATTTTAATAACTACTATAATTTCATTGAAAACATTCCTCACCACCGATTTCAGACTCCGGCGAATGGATTCCTACAGTCGATGACGCCGTAAATAAAAATGCCACATCATTTATGAACAAAACTCATACTTACAAAAAAAACATATATAAAAACCTATCTAATGAATCTTAAACAACGAATGTTAACTTAATTAAGGTTATTTCAAATTGATAAATCGTTTAATACAAATATAAATACTATAAATATAGAATTATATCAAGTTTTGACCTACGATATAAAAACTATTTACAGCAAAAAAAACACATACTTTTACACACTAAAAACTATATTATAGCCTAACTATTCCTATAAACTTACTTCGCATATAAATAACATTTAACTCATTCCTAATATATTTTCAAAAAATTTGTATGTGAAATAAAATAAAATAAACAACAAAATTTAAGTATTTTTGGTTATTTATTAAATGAATATGTAATTTCTCTTACATTTTAATAACTACTATAATTTCATTGAAAACATTCCTCACCACCGACTCTAGACTTCGGCAAATGGATTCCTCGATGACGCCGTAGATAAAAATGCCACATCATTTATGAACAAAACCCAAACTTACAAAAAACCATATATAAAAACCTATCTAATGAAACTTAAACAACGAATATTAACTTAATTAAGGTTATTTTTAAATTGAAAATTGTTTAATACAAATATAAATACTATAATATAGAATTATATCAAGTTTTGACATACGATATAAAAACTATTTACAGCAAAAAAAAAAAAAATAGACACCTACTTTTACACACTAAAAACTATATTATAACCTAACTATTTATATAAACCTTACTTCGCATATAAATAACATTTAACACATTAGATATACAATATTTTCACTTTACACTCTTACTACATTCTTTCCATTTCATTAATATTTGGTGTCATTAGAAGAATCCACTAAACCACTAAATCGAAAAAATATACGCAAACATAATAATTCCGGCCCCGCGCTTGCGCTGGGAGTATGCAACTAGTGATTATAAGACTATAAGAAGAAATAATTTTAGTTTATATATATTTCATATTGTTTAAATTAAACTATACATCGTATGAAAATACATACCTATATTTTGATATTTGCATTGAACATATATTGAAAAGTTAATATTTTAATTTTGAAATCTGACATTGTTTTTTCAAAATGATTATAAATTATTGAAACTACTAAACATCTCACATTTAAAAAAATTCGTTGGTGTAAAGTTTTCTTACACAAATATGTAAATAATCATAAAATCATATGAGTAGAAACCTCATTTAATAAATATACATATTAAAGTGTGCTATATTAATATATTTAAATGATTTAAATTTAATTATATATCATATACAATATATAAGATTGATTATTTTGATTTATTTATCCTAATTGCAAATAAAAAAGAGTGATAATTAAATTTATATGCATACTCTAATTTATTACATAATAGTAACTGAGTTCTTAGTTGTTTAATATATATATATATATATATTTA